GTGCCTGGCTGAGGAATTCTGGGAGTTGAAGTCCTCAAGTCATAAAAGGGCCAAGTTTGAAGTCCCCTGGCCTACAGAGTACCCATGGGAATCTGGTTAGCAGGCCCAGGACCTATTTGGGACTCAGAGGGGGAAAGAGGAGCACAGGATGCCTCAGGGGGTGAAGGAGGTTTGGGGAGGTCTGAGGCAAGTGGGCCAGGGAGTGCACAAGGCCTTCCAAGGCTCCCTCCCCAAGCCTGAGGCACCCCATGCTCTACTTGACAACCTCATTGCATTGGGGAGAGCAAGGATGGAGTGCATTAAGTGAGGCGATTACATGGGTGCCTCACTTAACAACCATCACGATCTGTGATCATAATGGCAGTCTCTATTACAGTCATAAGTCAAGGACTAGCCACACCTGTAAAAAAAAGTTAACCCCCCCCCCAAAAATGCCATAGAATGAAACAATAAGAATAAAGAAAAGGTATGACCTCTTAACATAAATTTTCATTTTAAGCTTCCTCTTCAGGCTGTTGTAAAAGTCAACTAGGCTAAAAACGTCCCTGAGGTAGAAATAATTGTCACATCATCACCACTCACGGACAAAAACCTTCAGTGCAAAGTCAAGGGTCCGTGTTAACCCAGCTGTCATCACAGGACACAGTGCTGAAAGAATCCCACCAATCTGCTATAATAATCAATCTATTTAAATGTTTTTTTAAAAACAAAACAGAACAACAGAACAGAACAGAACAGAACAGCAAACCTGAAATCAGTGCTTGGGAATTCCTCATGGGAAAGGATCCTGACAAGCCAAAGACGCTGCTGATGAAGATGGTGGCAGCGCTGCTGATGACAGCCACACAAACGATGGTGATTATGAAAAACCCGACTGTCCAAGCTGAAGTGTCCACTTTAACCAGCACAGTGATCACCAGGAAGACGGCCAGCATGACAGCCAAGGAGGAGAGAATACGGACATTGACAGAAATCCTGGAAAAGAAACAAATGAGTTTGGCGGGTGGTCTCTTGAGAAGCATCCCCGAAGATTCTCCTCAGTTCTGAGGTTACATTTATTACCTCAGCAAAAGCTCCGTTGCTATTTGAAAGGGCCAGGAGAAAAAAAATAATGAGCATAAACAGCTATTAAAGAATTGCAGCATCACCACCGAATAAGGGATGAGCATCTCTGACAAAGAAGCCTGGAACCAAATTGCTTGGTTCCAGTTCTATTATCCAGTCAGAACATGTCTTTTTCACCAAAGTGCTCTGTGCCATTCAGAAGCTTACAGAAGTATTAAACTGTTATTTTTTTTTTTTACCATGGGAAAGGTACAGGGTAGGAAAGGAAAGGGTTCTTGAATAAGGCTGAATAGGGTAGGACAAAGAGGCTAAGAAAATAGATAAACTGCACACAGATTTTCTCTTTCATGTGCTTAATTAAGAAATGCCAAATGACTGAATGCACCCTTTGTACTGCAAATTAAATGCTCTTCTCTACAAATTAAAAATTCTTAACTTCCACTTACGGCTGCTTTTCCTGATGAAAATTTTCAAAACACTTCAAGGCAATTACATAGCTAGAAAGAGGAAATCCGGATTAGGAAATTCTAATTGTGGACAGATCATTTTGGGGAGTGTCCATAGTGGATCCAGAGAGTTGAGGGTGGGTGGGAAATGGACAGGAGGGAAAAAAAAGGAAAGAAATGGAAATGAAACTGAAATGATGATAGGAAGGGGAGAAAAAGAGTCCTGTTTGGAAAAATGTTTAGAACAGAACTTTGGTATATGTGGTTTATATCTGCCAATATTTGGAAATGGTCCTTGACTTACACCGTTTAGTGACCATTCAAAGTTACAACGGCACTGAAAAAAGTGACTTACGATCAGTTTTCAGACTTACGACTGTTGCAGCATCCCTCATGGTCATGTGGTCAAAATTTGGGTGCTTAGCAACTGGCATGTACTTATGACAGTTGCACTGTCCCAGGATCATGTGATCACCGTTTGTAACCTTCCCAGCTGGCTTCTGACAGACAAAGTCAATGGGGGAAGCTAGATTTGTTTAACAACCGTATGATTTGCTTAACACCTGTGGCAAAAAAGTCATAAAATGGGGCAAAACTCACATAACAACTGCCCTGCTTAGCAACATAAATTTTGGGCTCAATTGGGATTGTAAGTCGAAGACTACCTGTACTGGAGGCTAGAAATTAAAACTGATAAATTTTAAAATATTAATTTATTTGACTTAATAAACCACAGGGATCTCCAGACCATACTTTGAGAACCATTGGTTTAGAAGATTAAATTTTCAATAGTGTAATTAGACAGTACAGTAGATGTGAGAAAAAAGGATGTGCAAAATATTTGGATCAAAGCAAAAATAGTTATTTTATAAAGTAACACAGAAATGTATGGAGTTAAGCTAATGGAAAATATTAGAAAAGAGTTTGGTGGAATGATGGTGGCTGAATAAAATTCATATAAAAATATATATCTTTCACTTGTTGAGGAACAGTGAAAGATACAGTTAAATGCATAGAAAGAGAAAGAGATAAATGCACAGAGTGTAATTTAAAATTATTTTTTAAAAAATTAAAACAAAATTGTTAAAAGATAGAAAACGCCAATGTATGTTGAAGCAAATAACAATTTGTTCGGGAGGTGGATGAAGAGGCCTCCAGGAGAATGAATGCAATAAAAAGGGAAAATGATGGAAGTATTCGGGATGAAACTGAAGTGAAGGATTATTGGAAGGTGCATTGTGTGACAATAATAGTGATGAATTGAAGAATGGAACTGAAATAGATATTATTAATGTTGGTGTTCAGGAAAAAGATGGTGAAAAGAAAGCCATCAATGTTTGAGAATGTTGAAAAATGATTAGGTTGCAAGTGTGGATGGTGTCACTAGAGAAATGCTTAAAAGATGGAATGGTTTGATTACAGACTGGATGTGTGATGCTTTTAACATATGTGAAGGTTGCATCTGTGCCTGATGAATGTAATAATGCCATGATTGTCCCCCTCTATAAAGGTAAAGGTAACCAGAGAGAATGCCAGATCTACAGGGAGATTAGTCTGTTACATGCACCTCAAAAGGTTTTGGCAAAATTCTAACTGAAAGGGGTATAACATGTGAAGAACATTTGCATGAATTGGGTATGTCTAGTCTAATGAAAAGGACTGGGGTGACATGATAGCGGTCTTCCAATATCTCAGGGGCTGCCACAAAGAAGAAGGGGTCAACCTATTCTCCAAAGCAGGTGAAGGCAGGACAAGAAGATCACGCGAAGTACTAGTACTGCATTACAAAGCCCTAGTAGGACCACACCTGGAATACTGCAGCCAATTCTAGTCACCATNGCAGAGAAAAGATTGACTTAGCCTTCAGGGATAAGGCCAGTGGTGGGATTCAGGCGCTTCGCACCACTTCGGCAGAACCGGTAGCTATTTTTTGGTGCCCAGGCCCAGAACGGACTTCTGGAAGCGGCATCGACACAGAGAACTGGTTGTTCACATATTTGAATCCCACCACTGGATAAGGCCCTGGCTTAAACATCTTATTATGATAAACACCTTTCTCGAAGTTAGTTTAAATGAGACATGCTTCATGCCAAAAGACTGTTGCCTTCTGGCAGAAGATACAGAATAATTAAAACTCGGACCACACGTTTTCTGAATAGTTTTTATCCCAGAGCTGTAATTGCACTCAACAACGAACTAAAGGGCCACCATCAGTGAACTGTTGGACAGCATTACTTGGTCTGTTGTGTGGATGTTGGGTGGTTTTAGGGGTGGGGATTGTGGTGGGGGGGAGTGTTTGGGGATTATGTATGTGGGACTTGGTTTTTGGGTGTCAAGTAAACTTTGTTGTATATGTATACTATGTACGCACATACAATGACAATATAATAAAGATTCTACCAAAATTAGAAATGTTGCCTGCCTGGCTCTAGGTCTTTTGACAAATCCAACCTGTTCGAACAGATAGTTTTAAAGAAATACATCAGGGGTCTTCAAACTTGGCCCTTTTATGACTTGTGGACTTCAACTCCCAGAATTCCTCAGCCAGGCACGCTGGCTGAGGAATTCTGGGAATTGAAGTCCACAAGTCATAAAAGGGCCAAGTTTGAAGACCCCTGAAATACATCAAGCAAACAAAATGAATTGCTCCTGGGCAAAAAGGCGTGCTAGTGGACAACCCAGATCTCCTCAGTGTCTTCCTCACCTTAATCCTGCAAAAAAGTTAGGCACGAGATCCAGTTCAGACCTATCACCACATGTTAATTATCGCAGAGCTTCTTAAGAAGGATGGAGCATGGAGTAGTCATAAGTTAATCTCTGGAGGCAATCAAGCTACAGGGAACCAATTTTCCTGGGAGTTTCCATAAATGCAAGCCAGACTCATGTGTATTTATGATGCTGAAAACTTAGCATAATAAAACACTTATTGATTATGGATGCGCCACTCAGCAGAATCAACAATGTGGCAAAGATAAATGAAAGCTACTTTTAAAATGCAATGCATTAAGCATAATGGGTTTTGTGAAATGGATTCCCAAGCTAGAGAATATATAAGATGTCCAGGTCTCTGTGTCAGCTTTACTTCATGGAATTGCAGATAATTTAATTCTCCGTTTAAGGAATTCTACAGATAAGGATAGTCACAGTAAGACAGATAATGGGGGCATTTTTGACAGAGAATGCCACTTAAACAAAAGAGTATCAATTCCTGGGCTTCAGCAAGTATACCATTTCTTGTGACGGTCAGCTAATTTTTCTATAAAGATGTGAAAAAATAAGGACAGCATTAAGTATCCTTCCCGGAACTTCAGAAGGAAAAGAAACTGAGATGCCCCCATATCCATACTTTACGGCAATGTTTCTTCACCTTGGCAGCTTAAAGAAGTCTGGACTTCAACTCCCAGAATTCCTCAACTGGCTGGGGGATTCTGGAAGTTGAAGTCCACACCTCTGAAAGCCACCAAGGTTGAGAAGCACTGTAGTAGAGAATCAAGGAGTTGCCTCCCCAGGATTCTCTTGCAAATATTTCCACCCAGAAGGAGTGGAGCTCTATGGTAGTTTGTCCAGTTCCCTCAGCGATCACTGATGATAGTTTAAAAAAGAAAGAGGTGTCCTTTTATGCAGGGGTCCCCAACCCTCGGGCTATGACCCAGTACCAGGCCACAGCCTGCATGGAACTGGGTTGTGCAAGCAGCTCCATTTGGGCAAACAGTAGGTGCGCGCACCCACTGCTTGTGTAAATGGAGTTCCGTGTGTGAAAGTGCATGCCCTCTGCTTCCACAGAACCATCCCCTCTCCCTCCCCCTGCCAATCTGCAAAGCTGGAAAGGTTAAAGACCTATCATGTCCCTATTATGTCCTGCCAAACCTAGCCTCAATTTACTGAACATACACAAAGTCTGCATGCGAGCAAAGTAAGAATAATACCAAGAAACGCATTACAAAAATGAATATTTTAAGCACAACTTTCCTGAACCCAGTGCCCTGCAGATGTTCTGAATTATAATTACCTACAACTCCGGAGTTTTAGATCTGGGGATAGGCAAGGCTGCAAGAAAATGACTGGCTTTAAATTGAAATAGACTGGACACATTAAGTAGAGAACTAATGGGACCATCTATCAAATTCCAAGATTTTCCTCACCTAAATGACCAATGTTCCTTTAGAACATACCTAAGGACATTTCAAAAGGTGATGTTTGGATTACGTTTTTTGAGCACGCCAAAATGTAGGTTAGTGGTGTTAAGAGCACTGCGTCTTAAAAGAGCAAGAAAGAAAATGCAAAACAGGGTTCTGGTGCTTGGTATAGAATTATCAGTCCTTTGAAGCCTATGATTTTTGTACTTTTTGTACATCTTTTTTCCGGGCGCTATACATTCCCTCCTTCAAGTTATAAAACACAAGGATCATGTAGGAGCAATGATACTAGAGAAGTGCTGATCACTCCATCCCATCTTCTCCTTCGAAAACTGTGACCTACTTTTATTTTACATATCAGAGAGACAAACTGCTCAGCTAGCAACCTATGCTGTCTTCAAATAGTTCGCTGCCGTTGAAGTAGTAGTCAAGACTTCCTTGAGTTAGCAAACGACCGAGAATCAGATTAAAACTATTACAAGATGCTAGAGAAAGAGGAGAATTTGGCCTACCAGACTGGACAAAGTATTATCAGGCAGCGGCATTGATCTGGCTAAGCGATTGGATGCATCTCAAAAATACAAGATGCATCTCAAAAATACAATGCTGGCTGTGGAATTCTGGGAGTTGAAGTCCACATGCCTTAAAATTGTCAAGGTTGAGAAACACTGCACTAGAAGGTCATGACCTACAGACAGGGTGGCATGCTACTTTGTGGGAAGAAAGACATTTAGTTCAGCAACACTTCCAGAAGCATTATATTAGGAGAGCGCTATTGGATATCTGGAAAAAAATAAAAAGAAATAATTATAGGAAAATCCACAACTGGGTGTCTACATTAGAAATGTATAAACATCCAAATTTGATATAACGTGGGGGTGCTGTCACCTATAAAGATATCTTGAATGAGAAAGGAGAATTAAAAGTGAGAAATACCTTAAAGGAAGAAGGAATTGATCTGGAATGGTGGGCTGTATCTTCATATTCAATCCAGATTTAATAAAGACAAAAAGGAACGGGGCATAAAGCAAGATTCTTCAGAATTAGATAAAATTTTATTTAGTAGGGAAGGCAAGACCATAAGTAAATTATATCGATATCTATTAGAACAAGATATGATTGAGGAACAGGTGAAAGAAACGATAATTTGGAGTAAATATTTTAGGCACAATATTGATTTGGATAATTGGCAAAGTTTATGGGAAAAAACCCTAAAAATTACTTTAGCAACCTCCTATAAGGAAAACCTCTATAAGATGTTTTATAGGTGGCACCTCCCTCCCACAAGATTAGCATGAATGAATAAGGGGAAATCCCCGATATGTTGGAAGTGTGGAGAGACCGTTGGGAATTACTACCATATGTGGTGGAAATGCACACAGGCACAAAAATTTTGGAACTTATTAAAGAAGTGGTTGGAAGAAATTTTGCAAATAGATATAGAAGCCAAACCGGACTTTTTCTTATTGGGAATTATAGAAAGAAAATATAAGAAAGACACAAATTATTTACTACTGCACCTAGTAACAGCGGCACGAATAGCCTTCGCTCAAAAATGGAAAGAGAAAGATACTCCAACCGACGAGGAAATATTATTGAACATTTTCAATTGCGCTGAAATGGATAGACTTACGTGGGAACTCAAGGACAAAAGTGAAACCAAGTACTGTAAAATCTGGGAACAATTTTATGATTGGATAGACAATAAGAGGGTAGCCAAGATAAATGTATAGTGCTAGAATAAACTATAGATTATAGACAAATGTATATTTAAAAGATAAATAGATATATAGAAATAAGGGAAAAAGTGTTAATAGTATATTATAAATAGTGAGCAAAGTTCAAGAACTATATAGTACTAATACTATTGTAAAATGTTGGAAGATGTATGGAACCAGTGATGTCATATCTATGTCCAATGTGTTTTTAATTTTGTATTATTAATAAAAATGTATTAAAAAAAGACTTCCTTGAGTTCCATGTCACTGCAGACAGCTAAGTCCACCAGGAGATCTTGACCTCAGTCCCTTCTTTTGTCTCCTTCCTCTTTGCCCAACATATAGATGCTGAATTTGAGGCCACTGCCTTCTTAGTTAAGTTCTTGCTGATTCTCATCTTTTCCATATATTTAGCAACCCTTCCTACTGATATTGCCCAGCATGATGAATTGCATTTCCCCCCGGAGAACATCTGTTTGAAGCAGCCTCCATTAACCTAGTAAAAGTGATCATCTAGACGATTTTGGATATTGTCTGTCTTAATTTAGGACAAAAGTAAATAACACGCTATGACTTTGAGAAGTTTTGCTGTGCAGCACAGGATTTTCTGGTTAAGCCCATTTTATCATCAAGAGTTTTTAGCTTGACTTTTAAATCACTGCTGTGTTAATGCTGCAGCCTGGGGAGACACATGGCATAGTCAAGGCGGGAGGAGGCAGGGCAGAGTGGGAGGAGGGAAAAGTAGGGCCACTAATGCAATCACACTTACTTGTTGACTAGCAGGAAGTTCCCAATCAAGCTCAGGACAGAAGGCACAGTGGAAGCCACAGAAATGTAGCTTTCAAAGAAATTCTAGGAGAGAGAGAGAGAGAAAAAAAAGTAGCAAGCATCAAAACAGAGTTTTAGAAACTGTGCTGCAAAAGGAACAAGGACATAAGTGACCCAGTGGCCTAATGGATAAGGCATCAGCCTTCGGAACTGGGGATTGTGGTTCAAGTCCCTCTGGATCATTCATTGGTGTTGAACCATTTGTCCAGAATGGTATAGGGCAGTGATGGCAAACCTTTTAGAGACTAAGTGCCCCAAAACCGCCCCCACCCTGCCCCCCACCCCCGCTCCGCTCCCCGCCCCGTCCGCAGGGCCACTTACTGCCTCCATGGCCTGCCGCAGATTGCCCAGATGGCCCAGCAGCGCTATGGCAGTCACACCCTCCGCCCACGCCCTGCAGCATCATCTGCGTGCAACAGGGCGCAAGGGCGGAGTCTTGTCCCCGCTGCCCTGCTGCCATGTCCTTGGCTGTGCTGCTCTGTGTAGGCCATGCCCAGGGGTGACTCTTCTCCAGGGGGCTGTTGGTGAGGAGGGGGCCACGGGGGAAGGCGGGACTGGGGTGATGGCACGCATGTCCAAAGAGAGGGCTCTTAGTGACCCCTCTGGCACACGTGCCATAGGTTCGCCATTACGGTATAGGGACTTCTGCTAGAGCAGGGGGTTGGACTAGAAGACCTGCAAGGTCCCTTCCAACTCTGTTATGACCTTTCCCCAGATCTCTCTGTCACAAACCAAGATCACATTTTCATGGCATTTTGAAACCTCGCGAATCTGCAGAGCTTGCACAATGATCAAACCACCAGCCTCCAGCTGAAAAGCATGCCTGATACTTCAAAGTAACTATTAATATATGTTGGGTAGAATATCAATCACGTGACTGTCTACAACACAAATGAAAAAAGAAAACTTCTCACTCTCATGACCAGTAATGCACACTATATGAATCCTGGCATTGAAACTACAATGGCTATCTACAGATGGGGCGAAAACCGCTAATGACCAGCGAAGCCTTATAACATTGGGATTGGTTTGGGATAAACTTACATTTCCTTCAGGAAATTCCAAAGCCCCATTCAGAACTATATTCTCCTACTGAATCAAACATCAAATCACAGACCGTAGTTAATGTGCATAACAACCACCACCACCACAACAACAATAATAATAAAATTGGAAGGGACCTGATACTCTTTCTTCCTCCTATGTTCCTCAAACAATAACCTGTGAGACTGCGATTGGTTATCTTCTTTTGGTTCTGAAGTGTTGGCTGCCGCTAAGATTGAAGTATGGGAATGTCTTAAATGTATCTCTGAAGATGGAGTTACACAGACAAACATTTCCAATGAAGAACTTGGCAATCTTTAAGAAATCAGGCATTCCTTCAGTTTTCTTGAACACAGATTTAATAATAACAACAACAATAATAATAAAGTTGGAAGGGACTTGGAGGTCATCTAGTCCAACTCCTGCTCAGGCAGGAAACCCTATACCATTTCAGACAAATGGCTGTCTAGTCTCTTCTTAAAAACTTCCAATGTTGGAGCATTCACCACTTCTGGAGGCAGGTTGTTCCACTGATTAATTGTTCTAACTGTCAGAAAATTTCTCCTTAGTTCTAAGTTGCTTCTCTCTTTGGTTAGTTTCCATCCGTTGCTTCTTGTCCTGCCTTCAGGTGCCTTGGAAAATAGCTTGACTCCCTCTTCTTTGTGGCAGCCCCTGAGATATTGGAACACTGCTATCATGTCCCCCCTTCTCCTTCTCTTCATTAAACTAGACATACCCAATTCCAGCAACCGTTCCTTATATGTTTTAGCCTCCAGTCCTGATCATCTTTGTTCAATTCAATGCTTTAAGACTCCCAGAGGCAAACTTCCTCTTATTTATTGAGGAAACATACAGTAATGTCTTTTGTTTTTGTTAATTTCATTACAGATGTGTCCACTTGATTATCATGAAGATTATATTGTGTTGGACAGGGAATATAAATTTCTCACTAAAGCCATGATATCCTTGAAAAAAATCCCCTTCTGTCGTCATTACCAGAAGGTAACGCTACCTGGAGTGATTGAGATTAGGTGACCTAGAAATGTTATGTATATATATATGAATTAATTAATTAATTAATTAATTAAGTTATTGGGGGGAAAGTTACATTCTTCTCTCATACAAATTAAACTGAATATGGCTATCGGTCACCATTTAAAAGTCATCCAATTCTAGCACTACTAAGATAGGGCTGAAATTCACAAAAACTAGTCTGCTTACACCTATCATCATCTGTGGCAGCATTCTGAAGCATGCTGAACATGTTTATAAAACCTTTCCTTCTTTTTTAAAGCTAGGAATCTTTTCAAGGTTTGGGGAAAACTCCATTTCTTCAAAGTTTTGGTATCTTGTTTCTCAACCTTGGCAACTTTATGGTGCATGGACTTCAACTCCCAGCATACCTGGCTGGGAAATGCTGGGAGTTGAAGTCCATACTTCTTAAAGCAGGGGTCTTCAAACTTGGCAACTTTAAGACTTGTGGACTTCAACTCCCAGAATTCCTCAGCCAGGCTGGCTGAGGAATTCTGGGAGTTGAAGTCCAAAGTCTTAAAGTTGCCAAGTTTGAAGATCTCTGTCTTAAAGCCACTAAGGTTGAGAAACACTATCACAGATCACTAACATGGGCACATTATGATTCAAACAGTTCAGGAAATACTTTTTACGTACCCTGACTTATTTACAGCAGGGCTTTTCAACCTTTTCACCCATTGTACCACTTTTAGGATATGGCAACATCCGAGTACCACCAGTTGCCTAGCAAGGTGTCAAAAGCTTGATGACCCCCCCAAAAAAGGAAAAAAGTGATAAAGTACAGATAGTCCTTGACTTACAACAGTTCGCTTAGTGACTGTTCGAAGTTACAATGGCACTGAAAAAAGTGCCCCCCAAGCCACAGCCAACCAAGACACCTGCCTGCCCGCCCGGCCACGCTCTTCCTCCTGTCCAAGGTTTTCATTGTTGTGAGCATTGCTGTTGAGGATTGGCAGTGGGGGTGGGATGGGGGGGTGTTTGGTTTTATTCCCCCCATCTGCTGGGTGGTTGCAGCAGGTTTTGGTCACTTCACATGACCCTGGGACACTGTGACCATCGTAAATATGAATCAGTTGCCAAGCATCTGAATGTAAATCACAAGACCCTGGAGATGCTGCAACATTCCAGTTGATTGGCGCTTCTTCTGGGCTCAGCAGAAGCGCCAGGATCAGCGCCGAGCTCCAGCTGGAGCCTGGTGCTGATCCTGGCACTTCCACTGAGCCCTGACAGCCCTGCAGCTCCAGCCATCTCTCGCTCAGGCTTGTGCGGTGCTGCCACCGGTTCAGCTCATTCCCCTCCCCTGCTACCATTTTTCTAGGATGGTTGCGTACCACCTGCCAGGTGCCAATGTACCACAGGTGGTACCTGTACCACTGGTTGAAAAGCCTTGATTTACAGGATGTAATCTGGGAGACCTAAAAATCAAGAGAGCCTGTCAAAAGCCCTGTTGCTTAATTCTCCCAGGCTCCCCTTCATTGGCTGAGAAGAACAAGAACATGCAAAAATCCTGATGTGTGAGAGGTGTGTTTGGGAAAATTGCAAAGAAGCTGCCCCAATCAGCTCCCCCTGATGAAAAAGCTTTTACATCCATCTCCACAGTCAGTAACCAGCATTCTAATCAAAATCCAAGTTATTGTAAGGATATGGTGATGGAATGGCCTGTTAGTACTGAACTGCTTCTTCGTCCAAACAGAACAATATTTCTGTACAGGTAATCACACTGGACACTTAAGTGCGCCTATGTTTGTGTTCCCCAAACAGCAAAGGAAGTACTGTTGGCGTCCATGAAAAGCCAGCCTTGTCCTGCCCAGATGCTTTGGCAAAGTAGCTTTTTAGTCAGCTTAAATTCAGCAGCAGAAGCATCCCTGGGCTCCCGCTGAGCTAAAAAAAGGAGCTGAAGCCCTGGGTGACGAAGCAAGCACTGGAGCGTTACCTGGATCACAGGGCATGAAATTAGCAGTGGCAAGCAGGTTGGAGCAAGGAATACCTCACTGTTGTGAGCTTATCTGCAGAGAGCCAAGTTCAGAATCCTACTTCTAATGATTCTGTGCAAGGCCCATGAACTCTTCCCCTCTCTGGTGCTGCCCAGCCAGCTCCAAACCAACCTGAAAAGATGGAGATTTCCACTGCCAGGAAAACCATCAGCTGCTGAGATTACCAATAGGTTGACCTGGCTTTGATCTGGTCATCCAGTGTCTGTTAGGCCTCAAAAGAGATTATAAGGATAACAGCAGGCAGAACTGCATTTTTTTTTTTAAAAAAAGGAATTAGTTACAGGCATAATTGGATGGATTATCTACATTTCCTATTAATGAAAACCATTCAGAAACATCATTTGATATAAGAGATATTAAGATGTGGGGAAGCAAAACTAACTAGATCTTGCTAGCAATGAAAAATCTATAACAGTTGTCAGATTGTCTCAATAATACAGTAATTCAAAAGACAGTTTTGGATCCCTGAAGCCTCAAATCAATTTTGCACTGGGTATCCTATAGAGTGGCTCCGATACTGTAGGAATGCAATCCCCAAAGTGTAGAGCATTGGTTCTTAATATTTTCTACACCGCAGACCCCCTGTAAATACTTTTTATGGCTACGGACCATGGCCAAGACTCAACTCAAGATTTAAATCATAATATTTCTTCAAGCCTTCGCAGACCCCTCATGACAACATCATGCCCCCCCCAAGGGACTGCAGACCAAAGGGTGAGAACCACTGGTTTAGAGAACTCCAAATCTGTGTTCAGGAAAACTGAAGGAATGCCTGATTTCTTAAAGATTGCCAAGTTCTTCATTGGAAATGTTTGTCTGTATAACTCCATCTTCAGAAATACATTTAAGACATTCCCATACTTCAATCTTAGTGGCAGCCAACTTCAGAACCAAAATAAAATAACCAATTGCAATCTCACAGGTTATTGATTGAGGAACATAGGAGGAAGAAAG